ATGTAAAAGTAATAAAATTTAAAAGAAAATGTACGAAACCACTTGATTTCTGCACGTTGTAGCACGTAATTCTAATAATTGTGCTTCTTTGCATCATGCTAAAGAATGGTGCGAAAACAACAGAAAACTCAAATGCACGTTGGTCCTAAACAAACTATACACACCGTGAGGAATTTCATCCAGGCTATCATCAATCCCACGTTTGACAACTCTGGGCCTTGTCTGTCCATCTTGTGTGGTCCCCCATTCATCTGGCACTGAGGAAGGCTGGAACTGGACAATAACCTTCAGGATACAACAGAAGAATTACGACAACTCATTACCCAATTCTTTTTCAATGCAGGCTAAATCGTTTATTCCAATTCATAATAAACTAGTTGACAGTATGAGCAGTTTATAAATCACATTAGTAACGTTCTCCCAAAACCAAAACCAATTCTGTAAGAGTTCTACCAGGGTTTATTAACCATTAAAACCAAGCAAACAATACCAGTATCTCCAATGCTCACATGGGAAAAAAATGTAACTAAATTTAAGAAATAGTATACCTTGATTTTAAAATCTAACATAAAAATCTAGGTTTACACATAACGAATCAAGGAAAAGTTACCTGCAATGGAGGAGTCTTTGTTTTATAAAAATATGTAAAGCAAAATCCCTTAAATAGTAAGATTACTAATGAACTTATAAATTCAATTTCTAAGAAGACATTCACCATTTTTTGGAAAGATATCTCTTCTGTTAAATCAACTACACTATATTTAGCCTTGTGCTATACAGAAATTTTTCTTTAAAAAAAAAAATATGTATATATGATTGTATACATGATGGTATGCAAAATTTTTATGTTTGTATAAAAAAACAAAAATATAAGTGGTTACCATTAAGAAGAGAAAACGGGGTGGAGGATGTGGGGAAAGGAGGTTTTTCTATTTCATTTAATACTTTCCTAGACTGTTTAACTTTTACTTAACTTTTTATTTTAGTACCAATAAGGATTACAGTGGTAGACAGATCAGGGTTGTTCTTGTTTTCTCTTTACACTTTTCTGTAAAACAAAAAACCAGCTATGTTCTGAGAAACTACTGTGTGCCAAGCACTACTAGAAGCTTTCACATAAATTACCTCACTTGACCCTGGGAGATAAATACTATTGCAGGCGAGCAACCTGGAGCTGAGAGAGAGTTAGGATGGTAAATAAAAGAATCAGAATATCACTAATCAATGTTTTTAAAAAAACAGACGTTTCATGGAGA